ATGGGAGGGGTGTGGGGCCAGTTTGCTGTGAGCTAAGAGGCCCAAGAGCACAGGCAGTGAGCACTGGGCAGTGTTCCCTGAGCTACTGTTTGTCCCTGCAGGGACAGGTGGAAGTGTAACCCTGGCACAAAACATGTGTTCTCCTGGACACTGCCCCACATCACACGGCCCTGGCTCAGCCCTCACCTGGAGACAGTCCTGCCCCCAGCTCTGCTCATCTCTGACGACTACCAGGAGGAGAACAAAGTCCTGGGTGTGCACTGCCTGCACCACATCATCCTCAACGTGGTGAGGGAGTGCAGACAGATCCCTTCCTGGTGGTGGGTGAGGGAGGGGTGATCACAGAGGGTCCTGAGCTGGAAGGGACCCACAAGGATCATCAGTCCAACATCCCAACAATGCACCCTGTGCCTGAGAGCATTGGCCAAACACTCCTGGAGCTCTGTCAGCCTTGGGGCTGTGCCCACTGCCCTGGGGAGCTGTTCAGTGCCCAAACACCTCTGGGGGAAGAACCTTGTCCTGATATCCAACCTAACCATCCCCTGACATAATGTGATGCCCAGGAATGACATCCTGATCCATGTTGTTGCAGCCAGCTGCAGATCTGTGCCAATTCAACAGGGCCCAAGTGGTCTATCATGCCCTCTACAACCACCTGTATTCACGAGAGGCTCCTCTCATCCAGGTAAGACAGCTGAACTTCCTTCTAATCTGCATTGTGGTATTACCAGTCCCATCATAGGTGGAGGCATGAGGAGGCAGAGCCTGTTTTCTCTCACAGTCCAGTCAGGCTGTTTCTAGCCAGTGCCTGTGGCCTAGAGACAAAGTAACTGTGGATTCCAGGGAAATCAGTGGGAAATTTCCAGGGATTTCCAGGGAAATCCAGGGAAAGCAGTGGGAAAACTCTTGCCTCCTGCCCCACTCCAGGTGGCAGCCTTGCTGAGCAGGGCAGGGAGCAGGTAGTAGAAGTTGTTGGGTGCTGCAGGGGAGCTGCAGCAGCTGTGAGTGGTCAGTGAGTGGGAGTTCATGGTGTTTTGGAAAGAACACGAGTGGATTGCCCACATTGCCTTTGTCTCCCTGAGCCAGGCAGTGCTGCTATGCCTGCTGGACCTGCTGCCAATCCTGGAGCGATCTCAGCAGCACCAGAGGCAGGAGAGACACACCTCCCCCTGGGATGAGGTGCTGCAGCTGCTCCTGACACACATGGAGGCAGAGCACCGCCTGGCACTGCGCAGGGTGTATGCAGGGACCCTGCCTGCCTTTGTCAGCAGGTGAGGGCTGTGGGGACCCTGCCTGCCTTGTGGGGAGGTGGGAGCAGCACCTCAGTCCCCAGAGACTGGCCTGGGCATCCATCTCCCTCCTCAGGGTGTGTTTGTGCCTGCAGCCTCGGCATCCTGGTGGTGAGGCACCTGAAGAGGCTGGAGAGAGTCATCCTCAGCTATCTGGAAATCTCTGATGGCCCTAAGGAAGAAGCCAGGCTGGGAATACTGGAGACACTGCAGTGTACCATAGAGCATGCCTGGCCCAGGTACCTCTCTGGGGTGACAGACACTACACACAGAAACCTTATCCCAAAACCCTGTCCTGAATGTTTTCACTTTAAGAGCCAAAGGTGCTGTTGGTTGAGGAAATGCCCTGAGATCTGAAGGGAGAATCTGTCTCAGGGAGGAATTGCTCTTTGCTGAAAAACCTGGCCCAAAACACAGCCCAGTCCTCACTTTGATCCAACTTGTGCATCAGCTTGGCTGTAAATTAAATCTGTGTGGAGCAAGCCCTGTGCTGTGCATCCAGCTGTCCAGTGACAGCATTCCTGACCATCCCAAGGTTCCCTGTGTGCCCAGGGCTGTCCCCTCTCCTGGCACACTGAGGCAGCTGCCTCAGCACCATCACTGAAGCAGTTTCTGCCTTAGGCCAGCTCCAGTCCTGCTCCACACCAGCAACCAGCAGCTCCCAGGAGCTGTGCTTGCCCCTGGCTTGAGAAGAGGTTCTGGAATGAGGTGTGGTGGCTGTTTCCCTTGCAGAATGCCCTGCAGGCTCCCTGTGCTGCTCAAGGCCCTGCTGAGGTTCATCTGGGACGTTCACACAGACCAGGGCTCGACACCAGAGCCTGTCAGAGCTGCCCTCCTCCAAAGGGCCACTCAGTGCCTCATCCTGCTGGATCACTGCTCCCAAGGACAGGTGAAGGTGAGTCAGGGACTCAGAGTGGTGTGTGCAGGGCCCAGGCCCTTCCTCAGCCCAGCACTGTTCTGAAAGCATCGATACCTGATTGCTAAGTGACTCGATACGTATCACAGGTATCAATCTCTTTGTGCAGGTCTCTTCCCACAGAGAGCTGGGGGAGGGTTGGGAACACACCACCTGAGTGCCAAGGCACTGGGAATGCTGCTCTCCTCCTTGCAGGTCCTGCTGGAAGGTGTGTACAGCAGCTGTGAGGAGAACCCTGTACGGGAGTGCATCAGGAGAGTGCAGGAGAGCACGTGAGGAGGCCGAGAGTGCTCTGCTTTTGTACAGTAAAATTGGTTTATTTATTAAACATACTGTCTGTCTTGTGCCACCTCCCCCAAAATACAACTCTGTCCTTGCCTGGCCATGTGTGGCTCCTCCAGCTTGAGCACAAAGCAGGTGCCCCCCAGGTCAGTTTCCTTCCCAGAGCACAGTCCAAGCTGAGCCTGCTGTGGCTGTAGAGCAGGTGGGGGCACTTCTTCCTTACCACTGTGCTTCATCCACTTGTACAAACTTGCTGCAATTGCCTGGGGCTGGGACAACCCTGCTCTTGTCAGAGAAAATGTTTAGGGTGGAGTATAAAACCAGTTGTTGAGGGTCCTGCACAGTGGGGAGAGCTGGAGGAGTTCTGGTGACAGATCTGGAGTCCTGTCAGTTAGTACAAAATGGGATCAGGGAGGGCTCAGGCTGCTTTCATTTTGGTGGTTGGCTCTGTTTCTTCTTCGTACTCTATTTCAATGTAGGGACGTTTCCTTCTGGCTGGTCCTTTCAGGGGAGTTTTCCCTTTAGACCTGGAGTGAGAGGCTTCCTTCTCTACTTCCTCCTCTTCCTGCTCCTCCTCTTCACTGCTTGTTTCCAACTTATCCATGTCCTGAGAAAGAAGTGAGTGACAGGAGTGGTGTCAGAGCATGATGTGTAACTAAACCTCCTCCTTCTGCACAATCACCTCCTGTATCCAATTCCCTGGCTCCCAACTGTCACGCCAGGAGAGCTGGGCTGGAGTGTCACCTGACAGTTTATGGTGCTACACCTACCTCAAAGTCGCTGAGGTCACTGTCCTCTGCTTCCACAAACTCCCTTTTATCCACATCCTGCAAGAAACAGAGTCAGGAGCTGGAACTGACACAGCAGTGCCATGACTCCTAGCAGCAGAGCCACCACTTGCACACACTCATAAGCTTTTTTGAGCTGTCCTGGTGCTGTTTCTCACCCTGCAGTGCTCAGCATGCAGGGGCAGCAGAGCTCAGCACCAGGGCAGGACTCATGGGTGCCCTGTCTGAAGCTTTACCTCATCTTCATCTTCATCTTCCTTGTCTGCATCCGACTCACTCTCACTCTCTGCCTCCTGCTGCTGCAGGGCTTTGTCAAAGGCATGGATGGGGAAGTTGTAGATGTCTCCATACTGAAAGGACAAAGGGGATTTCCTGTCAGTCACAGGAGGAAGGCAGACTTTGGGGAGCGGGGGCATCAAAAACCTGCATGGAGGCAGCATCAGACTAGGGCGAAGGTGTGGGTCAGCCCCTTCCCAACTCTGAACCCTCAGTCCTCCACAGAACACGAGGGAACAGCCCCTTCCCCAAACCTGAACCCTCACTGCTGCACAGAACACAGAATTCTGTTTGTGGGAGCCATTCAGCCCCACCCTTCCCACGTCCCTCCCCAGAACAGCAGCTCAGGGGCACTGTGTGTTCTCAGGGCACTGCTCCTTACTGTGTCCTGCTTCAGTCGTTCCAGCAGCTCCTTCTCAATGGCATTATCCAGCTGAGCAGCAACCAGGGCTTTCTCCTAAGGGAGCCAAGAGGAGCTGTGTCACGCTGGGGGACAGGTGGGACAGAGCAGTGACAGGAGGTGACACAAGGAGTGGTGTTACCTCTCGTCTCTTCTCACGCCTTTCGATCTTCCTGCGCAGCGGAACGAGCTTCCTCCTGCAGGGAACAGGCAGGGAATGTCAGCCCTGGGCAGCAAAGCCAGCACTTAGCACTAGAAATGGGGCAGGGGCTCGAGAAGCCACCAGTGGTCCCTTCTCCTGTCCCTTACTGTCTCTTGAGCGTCAGCTTGCGGATGCGGATCAGGTACTGAGTGATCTTGGTGAACCTCTGCTTGCACTTGTGCCTGATGAACCTTGGCCAGTAGATGAGGTTCTCATCAATCTCCTCCAGTGCCTTCTCGTAGTTCTTGCTTAGCAGGACCTGGGGGGGAGAGGGGAAGGGCTGAGTTACGGAACAGGACAAAGCAGGGATGTTGGGGAGAAATCACATTGCTCTCAGAATCATTGGGGTTGGAAAAGCCTTCCAGGATAATCCATCCTGTGACACATCCCCACCTTGTCAACTAGCCCAGAGCACTGAGTGCCATGTCTAGTTGTTCCTTGAACACCTTCAGGGATGTGGCTCCACCACCTCCCTGGGCAGCACATTCCAATGCCTGACAGCCCTTTCCATGGAGAAATTCCTCCTGATGTCCAACCTGAACCTCTCCTGGCACAGCTTGAGGCCACATCCTCTCATCCTGAGGACACCCTCCCTGCCCCCTGGCACAGGACCTCAGAGCACTCTTGGCCATCAGCCTGCTGCTGTGAGCTCACCCTCTCCCAGAGGCGCCGAGGGAATGCCGCTCGCTCGATCGTCTTCATGTACAGGTAACACCGACCTGCAGACAGGGAACATGATGCCACGTGAGCCAGGCTGCCCTCAGGCAGGTGCTGCTCACCCCCTCCCCTCCCAAGGGCTCACAGCAGCCACTAGATCCCAGCTCTTGGCCATCAGCCTGCTGCTGTGAGCTCACCCTCTCCCAGAGGCGCCGAGGGAATGCCGCTCGCTCGATCGTCTTCATGTACAGGTAACACCGACCTGCAGACAGGGAACATGATGCCACGTGAGCCAGGCTGCCCTCAGGCAGGTGCTGCTCACCCCCTCCCCTCCCAAGGGCTCACAGCAGCCACTAGATCCCAGAATCATCCAGGTTGGAAAAGCCCTCCAAGCCAGTCCAACCTCAACTAGATCAGACCACTAAGTGCCATGTCCAGTCGTTCCCTGAACACCTCCAGGGGTGCTGATTTCACCACCTTCCTTGGCAGTTCCAATGCCTGACAGCCCCTTCCATGCAGAAATCCCTGCTGCTGCCCTTGGAGCAGGATCCTACCTTTCTCCTCACGGATGGTGGCATACTGGCTGTTGGCCAGGGGGCAGGAGGAGCGGTTGCACAGCCCTGTCAGGTTGTACTCGTTGCGGCAGAAGTTCTGCGTTTTGGTCCTAGAAAAGAAAGAGGAGATGGAATGACTTAGGGAAGGGCAGAAGACCCCAGTGACCACCCAGCCCCTTGCAGCCCACCCCATCCTCCCCCACCCTCACGCATTGCTGTGGTGGCACAGGGATGAGAGGACACCCCAGGGTTGAGGGGGACCTGAGTGTGTCCCTGCTGGAGCCTCCCCAGCCCTCCTGGGCTCAGCCCACCCCATCCCTGCCCCCCCAGGACTCACGTCATCTTGTAGGAGCAGAACTGCCTGTTGCCCAGCATACTCCAGACAATCTGTGAGGGCAAACAGTGGGTGACACTCACTGACACACCCCACACTGACCCCCATGCCCTCCCAGCTTGGGCAGCGCCCAGTGTGGCTCTAACTGGGAGTACCCCAACAAACACTGTGGACCACACTGACAGGGAGGCTGTGGTGCCACAAGAGCCACAGAGACAGCCCCATGTGCTGCTGTCACATTCTCCTTTACATCCCCCTGCGACTCCAGCAGCCCCAACTGCAGCTCTAACGGGGCTCACTCCTGAAAGACTGCGGTCCCCATTGACAGGGAGGCTGCGGGGCCACAAGAGGCCATTTTTTTTTTGCGGTGCCACAAGAGGCACAGGCACTGCCCATCTGCTGCTGCCACACTCCCTTTGACACCTCCGTGGTGCAAGACAGGGAACCCTCCGGGGTGGGCTGGGGATAGAGACCCCCAGTGGGGGACAGGGACCCCCCGGTGCGGGCTGGGGACAGAGAGCCCCGGTGGCGGACAGAGACCCACGGTGGGGGACAGGAACCCCGGTGGGCGACAGGGAACCCCCCGGTGTGGG